TGCTGTCTGAAGGCACAAGTAAATGTTAATAAATGTGCCAAAACATGGCCAAAATGGCATCTGTATTCATTTAAAATTCAATCTACAACACAGTAAAGTGTACCAAAAGCAAAGGGCGTAGAGAACCTTCTGAAGCAACATCCAAAGTCTGGTGTCCACTTCCCTTTAGCTCTGTTTTTATCCCTTGGCAAACACTGAGCTTTATAACCAATTAATCCTCCACTATATGTTCCCACTCGTGCATAGATAGGAGTCAAAACAGTACAATCCACCCCCCAAAAAATGAGCTTAAATGTGCTAAAATACTCCCCACAACTGAGGAGAAGTGAAGTCGGGTGATACCTTTCACATCCTCGTCGTCATTTGAGCGACTGGTTATATTGGATACTGCAACTTTAAGGCTCTTTGAAACCATAAGTAATGTGGTGGGCTAAGTCCTGTTAAAGAGATAATTTACCTGCAGGAGCTCAGATAGTAACGCTCCATCCAAGTTTCCGCGCATGTGGGCTAAGAGAAGTCAACTCCTTTCAAACAGATTGGGCAGGCTTTCATATCCATCCAGCACAGTTAACTGTGTATTCAGTATTTTGTGTAATTATCACAATCAAACCAATGGTGGCATTTTGCCTGCATTTTTTTTTTGGCATGTATCATTTAAATAAATGAGCAAAATCTGTGCTGTCTTTATTAGATGCACAGGCAGACTTTTTGCCAACAGGCAGTTTACATGTTTTGGCCACATTCATCCATATTTTGAAAAAAAAGAGCGGCCAGTCAGTCCAGTTTAGTTTTTTTGTTATCTTTATCACAGATTGCCGCATTGTGATGGTGGCATTGTACGAATGTGTGGTCACAGTTTAATTACCCCATGATATACTCTACATCCCCGGCCGGGAAATTTCTGTGAAGAAAGCCACAATCCCCTTCTTCGGTGAATGCCCCGGCTATTGTTAACTCTGCAAGTCCCCGTGATGCTTTGATAGTTGAAGTGACAGGCAGAAGTGTAGAATATGCAAAGCCTCCTGTAAATCCCATCAAGTGGAGTGAATTAGTCTGGAGAGAATTGGCCATCTGCTCCCAAGATTTATCAACGCAGCGGTCAAAAGTACTTTTCTTGCATGCATGTCTACACCTCTGACAGCAAACAGTAATGGAAAATGAATTATCAGAGAAGGCAGTGCTGGCACGGTCTAATCAAAAAGGGATCTAAAGTTACTAATTGGCAATTGGCTGCATTAAGGGAGTTTCTGAAAGTTGTTTAACTGAAAATGTTTTCTTTTCCCATGTGAAATAAACACCTTTGAAGACATGCTGTAATTAAAGTAAGCAGTTCTTATAATAATTTGAGTATCTTTTATTGTTTGGGGCTTCTGTGGCTTTTATTAACCCCGACATAATGAGAGCTGAACTGTAGCTCCCTTCATGAGAAACATTTGAAAACCTGTTGCCAAGATATATATATATATATATAAAAAAGCCCCCAGCATGAAAGGGGTCAAGAGAGGATGTCTCACCACTGTGGTTGTTCAGCCTTCATTATTAATTTAACCTACTTAATTATTGATCAGCACAATGCTTAAAGCAGGGGGGAGGTCTCCTTGTTCTTCTTGGTATAGTGAGATTCCAGGTAGGTAGGAGGAGATGCATTCGGCTGACAAGCTCTCTCTTTTAGGCAAGTAAGTGCTTCGCTTGCCATCTTAATCGTTAGCATATAAACATTACCTTTTCAATATTTGATGTTTGCCAGCTT